TTGTTTGAGATTAAATATTCTGATTCCCAACGGTCATCATAAACTCGATGTTCGTTCGTTATTTTTCGTTTCTGTGAAGACATATTCCACGGAGTATTTCACTTAAAAAGGCTTTAGAGTTGCTGTGTACTGAAACGCACTAGCACTAGAACAAAACTGCCTGTCCCTTTTTCTTTTTTTGGTGAGGGGGGAATGCGTTTATGCACCATACCATAGCCCGAGCTACGGCGTGTGTGGGGCTCCAGGTTGTCTTGAGGAGACCACCTAATACCCACTAAACCCTTACCTCCGCGTGGCCCGACTCATCAGCGTCTCGGTAGGCCATATGTTGTGCTTGGCCTGCGGTCTGCTACAACGTCTCCTCATGTGTTTCAGTCTCTGGGAACGCCGGGTTGGTTCCCTTTACCTCGCACATTCTATCGATGTCGCTAAGCGATCATCGATAGAGGGTCTGCTACGTTCTCTTGAAACTCTTGTTTTCGAAAAATCAAGAGTTTCAAGTCCTCTTACCTATATATTGTTCCTGGTCCTGGTCCTGAAGGGTCCTGGTCCTGGTGGGTCCTGGTCGTGGCGGGTCCTGGTCCCGGTGGGTCCTGGTCCCGGTGGTTTCTGGTCCTCTGCATCCACGCCGTGGGGGGGGGGAAGCAACCGCCGGTTCTCCTAGTCTCCTAGTCAATGTTCCAGTTAGCAGGTGCCAACTGGGACCTTGGTCTAGGGTACCTGGTTCTGCGGTTGCGAGGCCTCTCGTCCGGATCGTAGTCCATGAGGAATCGTAGCTGCTTGTTCGGGTGGTCCTGAGCTTTCTGGAAGGTCTTCTCCGCTTTTTTCCTCATGTACTCGTGAATGGTGTCCCAATGCAGGTCTCTACGCAAGGTTGAGTTTCTTACGTAGGATGGTGCACTGGTGGCGATCCGGAGTAGCTTCATCTCTAGAGCAGCAAGTCGCTTGCGGTAGCTGGGGGCAGCGTACCCCCAGACCGCGGAGGCGTAAGCGAGCTGAGGTCTGGCGATGGCCTTGATCAGCCGTAGCTTGGTCGCTAGCGGCATCCGGCTGAGTCTACCCAGTAATGGGTAGAGTTGAGCCATGGCTGATCTAGTCTTTGCGATGACAGCTTCTATGTGGTCTTTCCAGGTGAGGGACTTGTCAAATACGATCCCCAGATATTTGACTTTGTCGCTCTACTGGATATCTTCGTCGAAGATGGATGCTTCGAGAGGTCTTGCAATCCTTCTTCGTTGGATGAAGATTGCCTGCGTCTTCTGGACGTTGATGCGGATTTTCCATTTCACGCACCAGTCCTGGATGTGGTCCAGTTCATCCTGTAGTCTCCTACGGATGATCTCGGGTCGTCGATGCTTGGCGGCTATAGCAGTGTCGTCTGCATATAGGGCCAGCATTGTGCCAGCTGTCTTCGGTACGTCGTGAGTATAGATGTTGTAGAGCAGGGGGGCTAAGGCTGACCCCTGGGGCACGCCTGCTTCCAGCTGTCGTCTTGTTGAGTGGCATGTACCAATCTTCACCGTGAACCATCTTTGTGTTAGATAGCTCTGGATCAGTTGGCACATGTTTGCATCGATTCCGGCGGCTTCCATTTTGACGATGAGTCCATCGTGCCAAACTCGATCGAAGGCTCGTTCCACGTCCAGCAGGACGAGGCCGGTTGCCTCCTGGAGATTGAAGCCGCTGGTGATGTTTGATCTGAAGCCGAATTGCTCTGGGGGGAGAAGTTCCAGCTCTTCTGCCTGCTTCTCTAGTCGAACGGCGATAGCCTTTTCGACTACTTTGCCCATCGAGGAAACCAGGCTGATGGGCTGGTAGTTCTGGGGCAACTTCCGGTCCTTGCCTGGCTTGGTGAGCATTATAACCTGGGCTTCTCGCCACCGTCGCGGGAAGTGGTTAAGTCTCAGAGTGGCATTGGCGATGTTGGTGAGCGCAGCAATGCCTTTGGAGGGAAGGTTCTTCAGCATCCTGTTGTTGATGCCGTCCCTTCCCGGCTGCCTGTCCCGCTTGATTCAACCTTCTTATATACGCGCCCGTGGCTTCTCGAATATTCGGGGATGATCGAGAGATCGGTCCAATTTCCAGTAAGTTCACTGCGGCCTACTATCGGTCGCCAGTGGCGTCACATGTTATTGTATTTTATCGTTAATGTAAGAATTGTGCATATTCGGTATTTGAGAGTAATTTATACATGTGATGTATACATGAGCCGTGAAGCGGGCCGCAACAAAGGAGTTCGCGGGCCGTATGTTGGACAGCCCTGCTTTAGGTAATACTCGGGACTAAATTTAGGCTATTTTTTCTGTGTTGATGAAATTTTGTTGCAATGAAAATTCGTTTAAAAAGTAGTGGTTCCAGAAGTACGCGGCCTGGCCTAGAGATGACGACAGTTGTTTGAAAAATATCATTGTATTATAAAGTATGCAACCTATAAAGCACTTGTGTCAAGTTTGAAGTCGCCACGTTGTTTGGTATTTGTTTGGCAGCCATCAATACTGAACGTTATCAGTGAATTTTAGCAGTACTGAATGATCGTCGACTGAAAGTGCGCGAGCTAGCAGACATAGTAGGCATTTCAAAAAGTGCGGTTCATTGCATATTATCTGAAAATTTGGACATGAGAAAGCTGTGTGCAAGATGGGTTTCATTTGAGTGTTCAGCAAAGTTTCACAGCAACAAAGCAGAATTTTTGCGTCGTTTCATAACCACAGATGAAACATTGGTCCATCACTTCACACCCGAGACAAAAGAACAATCAAAACAATGGACTCAAAAGGGACAAACAGCTCCAAAGAAGGCGAAGAACGTTTCATCTGCAGGCAAGGTTATAGCGTCGGTTTTTTGGGATGCGCGTGGGATAGTTTTCATTGACTATCTTGAAAAAGGTAAAACTATCAACGGCGAGTATAATGCGAACTTATTGAGCGATGAAATCAATCAAAAGCGGCTGTATTTGGTTAAGAATAAAGTGTTCTTTCATCAAGACAATGCACCAGCTCACAAATCCGTTATTACAATGGCCAAAATTAACGAATTCAAGATTGAATTGCTACCTCATGCACCCTTTTCACCAGATTTAGCCCCCTTGGATTATTTTCTGTTTCCAAACTTGAAAAAATGGTTCAGTGGTCAAAGATTTTCCAACGATGAAGAAGTGATGTCGGCAGTTAATGGCTATTTTGAGCAGCAAGACAGTTCTTATTATAAAAAGGGTATCGAACTTATTGAACATCGCTGGGAAAAGTGTATCGACCTCAAAGGAGATTATGTTGAAAAATACATACATTTTTTACAAAATGTTTGTGTTTTCTTCGTTGGGTCGGGTACTTCTGGGGCCACCCTCTATACTTCCTACTCCTTCGAAAAAACTTTTGGTACAATTTTTCATGTAGTGAAATGAGATCAAAGAGATGCAGGTTTTGTCAAAACCAGTAGTGCACTATTTTGGCTTATCATGAAAAAAGTTGCCTCAGATTGCGTCAATAAGCGTATCTTTACACGGGAGCCTCATCTATTTGGAGCCCTGATCTAAAGCTGTCTGTCGACAACGCTGCCTGTCGCCAACGTTCGGTAACTGACTGTAATAAATACTGGTATTATATTACGTCACGGAATCGAATAAAACCACTGAACCACTGAAGCGTAACGCTTATATATCTAGATAATATCACGCCCACCTTGTATATCGCCGTGCTGCTTACCTGCTCCAATCGATTAATAATCTGGTAACGCATCGCATATGCGAGGGATAGACGATCCATCTGCTGAATATTTTTCTAAGTTTTAAGGCAAATGTATGACGTGTGAAATATTTCTAATTGTTGCGTAGAATTACTGGAACTGAGAGAGTATTAATTAACATCCTTGTCATCCCGCAGCAATTTTTTACCCATAAAAAGTTTTACAAAAATGAGCATGATCCTCCGAACGACAAAAAATGAAGTTTGAGTGATTCCATTTTCGTTTTTGGCTTTTTTTTCCTTACCGCCATTGGACTTATTTCCAAACGCAACAGAGCTATTTCGTCGCTGTCGTAGTATCAACGTTGTGTGAGAATTTCATCCAGATCCGGGCAGTACTTGCCAAGTTATCTTATCTTACACCGAAGCTGCCACGCAGGCAGAAGCCTAAATGCCAGTGCACCGCGGCTGAGATGAGGAGCTTTAAGAAACTTTGTTATTCCGATTTTTGATCTGCCTAACGTTAGTAGAACTGGGAAAAGCCTCCTCATGTGTATTAAAGAAAAAGTTGTTTTTGAAAGTAAAACAAAATACAATATCAAGAGGTTAGGTTTGAGTGAAACATGCATATACATTTTGTACTATAATCACATTCTCTAAATCGCTTAGGAAGCGCAAATGGAAATTCGAGCTTCTGCGCAAAACAACCATCTCTAGTAACCATCAATACTAAACAGATAGGATAGAAAAAACGGCGGCAAGTAGGTTAACTCTGCACTTCGCATGCAACACAAACTAGACCCTCTGAGAAAAAAGTCATTTAACCATACAATTAGTCTATTGACATTTTTTCCCTGACCTACCGGTAAACGTCGCGTTTCCCCGAAACTGAACACGATCAGACATGGCAGGGCGGTCCAAGCATAGGAAACACTATGCTGTGGCGTGGCAGAAATACGTGTAGTATCATACCAGAACACATCACACTCACCAAGGCCGGCGGCACGCTGCTGGGAGTACTGAGAACATTTTGACTACAAAGCTTTGCGTCCTTGTCATAGCAGTAGCATTGTGTAAGAATTTCACTGAAATAAGTACTTCTTAATCGGACAGCCTAAAGTCGGTCATAAGGTTAGCGAACAGGCCGGCAGACAGACACACAATGAGTGACATCATTTTTCGTGATGTACATGTCATATAACATCCAAAAAACATAAAATCCCATTTTCGAAAAAATTCGCGATTACAATACTTCCCCGCCAGTAGACATGGGAAGTAAAATATGTGCTGATAAACGCAACAACCTTTCATTATTTCCTAGACAATTACAGAGTGAAAAGAAACCTGCTTGATGAATATACTATTAGCTGATCAAACTTTGACCTTAATTGAAATGTGGACTGTCACGTAACTAATTAGCATCAGTATACAGGAGCAAAGCATAATATGTGTACAATTTGTTGCAATCAGTAGATACTGGTGCTGTGGTTGGGGATCCCAGTTGCAAGTATACGTAATTTGGAAATTCGATCATCAGGTACGTAGAAGTTAATTGCTCTTTAACGCCTCTTTACGTCAGTTTCCTTTGTCGATCAGTCACTCGGCAATTCCGAATGGCTCAAGTGACTAGAAGGTTTAGATACTGTATCGCATTTACCACTTAAGTCACTCCAGAACAGCTGTGAAATTGTACCCATTTAGTATTGTCATTTCCTGGAAGTCGGAAGACGTATATTTGTGTATGTATGTTTAAGAGAGCAAAAAGCGCTCTTATTATCTTTTATCACTCACGACACGTCTGTCACTATCCATTCGAAATTTGCCAGAGATACCCATATTTTATCGACATGAGCTTGAACTGCTCAAAAATTCGATTCCGCTTTGTACTCCCATTGTGTATACAAAATTTTCTAGAATATCTGGGAAGTGATGAGGCTTATCTATACGATATCACTTTCCTCGAACATCATTTTTTCATATCACTTCTTATAAAAATGTCATTTCGTATACATAGATCGATACATGCATCTAGTAACATTTTTGTAACCATTTTGTCTTGTAATAAAACATTTTTTCTTTGAACTTCATGTCTTTTGACTTTTCATCACTTTAATGTAACACGGACGTAACTACGTCTTTATTCTATGAATTACGACCCTTCAATATCACAAAATAACGTATCTACATAAAATGAAAAATGGGTTAATCGTTGCTCATTTTTGAAAAGCTTGTAAGCATGAGGAGATATACCCACAAATTCATTTATGTAGCAATATTACGTTTTTGTCAGCAACAAGTCAAATCTCGCGAAACTATGTAAAATTGGAAAGAATGGGATACGCCACTTCGTGTTATGGACGACGATATATGGTATTAAAGATCTGGCGTGTGTAGATAAATCAGCGTAAAAATTAAAATTAGAAACCGTTCATTCTCAGATATAAAAAGGTCTCGGTCCATATTACCTACAATTTCACTATGCCCGTTTAAGCACCCTGTATAAAGAACTGGTAAAAACACGACGAACATATAAGGAATAAAACCTTGTTCATTTTTTCATGATTTTTAGAAGCTTGCTAACAAGAGTTCCATGTATTTTATACCTACGCCACTGTTCATCAAAAAGTCGTTGCGATAAGCGATGAACACATTATTTTCAAATAACGCTACGTAATCAACATAAACGATTGCATTACATAGTTTTAAATCGCAGCCAGAAAAGATCAAAATGTCCAACCCGGCGGACCTCGTCTTCACCCTACGGAACAACTTCAATTCCGGAAATACAAGGCCCTATGAGTTCCGCCTCAAGCAGCTCCAGGGTCTTTGTAAGCTTCTGGATGACCAAGAAAAAGAACTCACGGATGCTATACTCAAGGATTTGAGGAAACCACGATTTGAGGCGTTGTTGTATGAGGTGAAATATACTAAGAACGAGGTATTGAATATGATCTACAATTTGAAAGAATGGATGAAGCCCACAAAACCAAGCAAGCCGTTGCCCTTTCTAATGGATGAGGTGAGTATTCCTCTTCGTTACAACTATATTTATGCAATATGTAGACTTAAGTCCATGAAAACTGTCGGAAAGGAGCTAATTACTTCAGCCACTGCCAATAGATTCCGTTATGTATTGCTTTTCTAGGCATCTGCCCATTTATGTACTAGGACTGTAAAGTAACTTTAGCGCCAGATATTTATAAATTGACCTAAGCTCATCAATCAGCACTGTTGGTATTTATTTGTTGCTAGACTGTGGTTTCAACAATTGTCATTGAGTGTTATAGTATAGTATTTTTTATGTCCAATTAAAGACTAAACAATTTTTCTTACTCTAATAGCCTGTCGTAAGATTTTTTGTGTATAAGAATAGTAATAATAATAATAATAATAAATGGCCTTTATTCGTCACAGCATTAGAAAATAATTTGCTTAATAGGAAGAGTGACGAAAACGTGGGGTGTCAGCTTACGCTGTTTTTCAACCCGACCTAAAGAAAAAGTACCTACATTAAATGGCTCAGTTCACAACATTGACCACAAAAAAAAAGAAAAGCTTAAAATATTACACTTCTCAGGAAAAGGAAACAATCAATTGTTTTCCTGTGGATATGCGTAAAGTTAAATTCTAGCCATCCGATTGCTTTAAGCTCATCTTTAACCTTTTTTTAAAGTTGCTTAGGCTGTATTCGTTATACTCACTTGATAAGCAGTTATATAGTTTGGGAGCCCAGTACGAGAAACTACGTGTGAGCAATGCTGGCGAATACCGCGGGATTAGTAAGATGTGATTATTCCTAGAGGATCGTTGAGCGTACTGACAGAGGAGGGATAGCTTTGCACGGCGTATAGAACTTGGATTTTAGTAAGTTTTAAGATTAACGAGATGATAGGCTCCGCAAAATCATTCAAACCTAAACAAAACCTTTTCCAATCCTGCAGATCAAACGTGAACACGTACGATGCGCATCAGTACCCAATCAAGGCGCTGGCCGCGTTCGTAAACAAAACATTTCGTTCTCAAAAAACAAAACAAAAATGGCACACTCATACAGCAATATCAATATTATCTAATTTACGATGCGTGTCTTCGAAATGCTCCCGATGCTTCGCGAGTGCATGCAGATCGTTTTTCAAGATCCTGATTTCTTTTTTTGTTTGGGGCGAAATGTTAGTCTGAGGTGAACAGTGTTGACGAACTACGTATGCGAATTTAGCAATCTGCTGCTACGTCGAGCACATACATGTATCTCTGAATCTGTCAAAGACAACTCTGAACAATCCTTACAAGAGACAGAGCTGTACTTGAAATTTCTTTTCGATGAACGGTGCTTTTTTATTTTGTTACTTTTTCGCAGTTGTTTCACCTGACATTAGCTTTGTTATTACAAACCTAGTTGTTTCTGAAAAGGTAAGTCTCATCTTTTAGGAAACCACGTATAGATAGAAGATATATTATTTTATTATCTGGCATTTATCTCAATTACCTACCACAGCTAAGACGATAGAGGTTAAAAATCTGAGTTTCTTTAGAAAATATCTGGGTGAATCTTAAAGTAAAGTTCTGGAAGTCTTGATTCCGAATGAAGATCACCATCCATGGAATAGCAGCAGAACCAAACACTTTAACTTTTTTCTAAGTAGGTTTATAAATTAATTTTTGTGTTCTGCTACTGTTGTTTAGATGACGCGGCGAAATTTCAGATCTCTTTTTGGACACCGGCATACAGTATATTGTTGACTATCTCTAGGTAGAATACGTTAATCAATGGTATAAGGTGTGTAACGTTTTATTTCTCAGAATTTACTGCTTGGATCAAAAAGGCATCATTTTTCTTTATTATCAGTATATTTTGTTTAAACTGTATGTACGTTTCCCATTCATATTAAAAAAGCTCTATTAATGCAAGATCATTTTAACATAACTTTTGGAATTCATGTCCGTACTATAAAAATCCAATAATGCATAGTCATCTGTAGCTGTTAAACCTACATATTCTTATCTACACGTAAAGTATACATATTTTTATTGAAAAATACAAGTCTAGGTTTTGACCCGATGACACTGCATTTATAGATGGTATACAGTAAACAACAATTCAGACACATAGGCGTAGATAATATAAAAGAGATTATGTTAATTCTGGTATCAACTACCTCTTGAACCTATAGGGTCTCTTCATTTTCAAGGTTCACTTAACCGGAATGTTTAGGCTGTACTGATTTTACATTAAATCGCATCGTATATTTGTTTTTAAATATATTCCTTAGACAAAGAATTCATCCAAATTCAGTAAGTTTTTACTCACTATGAGAGGTCTGACATTTACTCAGAGAACAGAAGAGTTTAATATTTAAGAGTCTATGAGTATGCGTTTTGTTTTCTGCATTCCTTCATAGGTATACCATATAAAGGAAAGCCAAGCAAAGCGATTAACGAATATCTCGTTTTACATCTTAACAATGGCTCTGCTATCGAGAAAAAAAATATATAAGCATATTCGCCTAAGTTTCTTCAATAATCGGCGATCAGTTATAAGAGAATCTGCATGTTTATTGGCCTACCAGAGACAAAAATATGTATTTTTTTCTTTTCAATAAAATGATTAATGTTGCATAATAGGTGTTTTGCTCATAATTTCAGAATGGTCTTTAAGAACGGCTTTTTAAGGTATCTAACGTATATTTTAAGGACTCAGTGATACAACCGCCTGTTTTGGTAGAAAACAAAGTTTTGAAAAACTCGGACAAACCGTATTCACACGTATCCTTACTTTTGAATGAATGAATGAAATCATAATTAGTATTTTGGTGCGGATAGTGTATGGATATGAAAAAAAAAAAACAAATCTTGGATCCACGGCGAAAAACTGATATAGTAACTACTGTAATTAACATATACTACCAGTGGTATCATGAAAATATTTTTGAATTTGAGCAAGTTCACGGTTATTCTGCTCAGTATACAGGGTGTTCCTTAATGATATGCGAATATTTAAGGGTGTGAATCTACATGAAAAATTAATGTCAGTTTGCTTTATAAACTATGGCCCAAAAATGTTTCCTTATAAAAACTCGGGGTGTTGAAGTTTTAGGAAAAAATGGAAATTAATTAATATTTTCAGAACCGCTTCAGATATTTCACTGATATTTAGTACGTAGTGAAAGTTAATAAAGTTGCATATTTTTCAATGCAAAAATAATTTTTAGGTTTAACAGTGGCGTGTGTACGGGTATTAACGTCGATATTTTTTCGATACGCCGTTTTTGAGTAAAAAAATAAAAACCGTTCTATTGTCCGAGAAAATTAATGAAATAATTGAAGAATGCAATTTAGCAATCAATATCTAGTTGCTCTGGAATTTTTCACTGGCTTTTGACATCTGACAAGTCTCTGTTATTCAAATCTGTTGGCTGTGACATCTTTTTCATTATTTCGTTTTTACAATCTTGTTAATAATGGTGAATTATTCAAATGCCGAAATGGCGGAAATGCATTACGTATACGGCCTTTCCGACGGTAATGGTGAGCAAGCCAGACAGATTTATCACCAGAGATATCCCGATCGTGCTTTGCCAGATAGTCGAACCTTTTCTAATAATAATCGTCGTCTTGTTGAAACTAGTTCTGTCCGAAAAGGAACATCTGAAGGTAGACCTCTAAGTGTGAGAACATCTGAAATTGAGGAAGCACGAAGTCGAAGAACATCCTGAAACGAGTACGAGAAAGATCGCTAAACACTTAAATATTTGCCATCAAATTGTTTGGAGAATTTTAGTATATTTTTTGTGATATCCTTACCATATCTTAAGAGTACAGGCATTACTTCCTATTCTGATCACGGACAAAGAAGAGAAAGATCGCTAAACACTTGAATATTGGCCATCAAATTGTTTGGAGAATTTTAGTATATTTTTTGTGATATCCTTACCATATCTTAAGAGTACAGGCATTACTTCCCATTCTGTTCACGGACGAAGCTAATTTTTCTCGAAATGCTATTCAGAATTTCCACAATAATCATTTGTGGGCAGAAGAAAATCCCTATGCCGTAACCGAAACCCATTTCCAACACCAATTTTCGGTTAACGTATCGGCAGGAATTATTGGCAACCACTTTATTGGCCCATTCTTCTTGCCGGGACGACTTGACGGACAGACTTACCTCAATTTTCTTCAACAACAGTTGCCTTTGCTGCTTGATGATGTTCCGTTAGTAATAAGAAACAATATGTGGTACATGTATGATGGTGCACCAGCGCATTTCAATGTAGCGGTACGTAATTATCTACAAATTGTTTATCCAAATCGTTGGATTGGCCGCGGTGAGCCCCAAGAATGGCCACCAAGGTCCCCAGACCTCAATAGTTTAGATTTCTTTTTGTGGGGCTATCTTAAGACTCTAGTGTACACAAGACTGTAGAGGAATTAATAGAAATAATAGTTGCAGCTTGTGATAGAATAAAAAACACTCCAGGGATATTTCAACGAGTGCGCAATTCCATGAGAAGGAGGGCGGAAGCATACATACGAAGTAAAGGGGGCCATTTTCAACAATTTTTGTATCATTTTGTTGATTTTAATGTTATGTTTATGTCGTCAATTTTAAATTAATAATAATTTTGCACGTTAGACAATAGAACAGTTTTTATTTTTTTACTCAAAAATGGCGCATCGAAAAAAAAATCAATTCAAGATAGATCATTTGTTTTAAATTAAACGGGAAATTCAAAAATAATTTTTATTTGGCAATAAACCATTGGCGTACCATTTTTTTTAAATATCGAAGTCAATACCCGTACGCACGCCACTGTTAAGGCTCTAAATTATTTTTGCATTGAAAAATATGCATCTTTGTTAACTTTCACTACGTACTAAATATCAGTGAAATATCTGAAGCGGTTCTGAAAATATTAATATATTTCCATTTTCTTCCTAAAACTTCAACACCCCGAGTTTTTGTAAGGAATCATTTTTGGACGATAGTTTATGAAGCAAACTAACATTAATTTTTCATGTAGATCCACACCCTTAAATATTCGCATATCATTAAGGAACACCCTGTATATGATATTTTTGTATGAGTTCCTAACTACTTGTGATATGTATGTACTTCACCTAGGGCGGTCCAAAGGAAAGGATTATTTGAATATTTTTGCAAATTATGTTTCTGATGGCTACAAGTACTTAAGGACTATTACTTATTTTTTTTGAATACGGATAAATAAAAAAATATTTCAGGTTTTTTTCTTTATTAACTTTCTTGTAATAGTAGAAAGCTTAGGGTGTTCACTTTTTCCCCAAGTCTTCCTTAGTTTTATTCACTTTTCTTTAATTTTCTCTCATGCAGATTAGTTTTGATTCTCAAAGAGCGCAAGCACATGGTCGCAAATCTTCAAACATGTACACAACAATCTTCATTTGAGTCTTTATTATGTAGTAAATTCATCACATGAAATTCTTATAAAAGAATAACATTGCAGTTGAAACAGATAGTAAGTGCAGAAAATTAAAATATGATCGGTGAGCGTTCTATGTGGAACCTTAGGAACATGTCTTCATTTTACAAAGGGATACTCGGGATGATCTTTCATACTGCAAATGGAAAAAATGTCATAAACAAAGCATATATGTATAGCACTTGAGTTAGACATCAACATAGTAGAAAACCTAAGACTTCTAATAAAATTCATACCCTTTTAAGAAGTCCATATTAAAAATCCTTCCTTCTTCACCCATATCCAAAGCTTTTAGTTGCTCTATGTCATCTGAGTCGAGCGAAAAGCTTAAAGCACCCATATTTTGCTTCAACCGTTCTGGATTAGTGCTTTTTGGAATCACCACAACGTTTTGTTCGATCCAAAATCTCAGCAAAATTTGCCCAGTTGCTTTCTTATGTTTATCTGCAATTTTTTGTACCGCTGGTTGTTGGAGGATATTTGGCATTTCTCTAGTTCTGAAACAGATGTCAGAGACATTATCTTAATAAAGATGTTCTGCTTTTGTCGGTCCGACCAAGGACAGTCAACCATAGACAGCTATTTCGTGCTTTTGGGTGCTCCTCAGCATGTTCTAGGTCTGGGTCTCCCGGACAACGAACGAAGCATAGAGCATAGCAACTAACTATACAAAGTGTGTGATCTATCGGAATAAAAGAACACGAAACGGCATCCGTCGGTAGAAACGACCACTGGTTGGAGCTGTATAGATCTCAGTCCGCGAATTGGAGGCACAGTCACCAAGTTACCACTAGATGGCGATGCTTCAAGCTGTGTCCTAGATGTGGTCTACTTCCCATTGATAGATGGTGCTACGCGCTGTCATATATCGTTTATATTATCTTATTGAGTGAATATTTCCGAATTTCATATTTCGGTATGTTTTGTAACAGATCATACCTAGTTTATCAGTAGGTCTATCAGTTTGTCAATCGAACTGCTTGTTTGTCAGTATATACCTATGTCGTTCCAGTCTCTCTCTTAGCATCCTTGTCACCGCCTTAAATATACAGTATATTCAAATGAGAGATAGACCGGACATAAACAAGACCACGTGATCATCGAACGCTGTAACATTCGGCAGGGACGTATTAAGAGTCACGCAGTACATATTTTAGATAGTAGATGCTGCTTTGCGTAACTTTGTAGTAAATTAGCACAATTCGATGTGTATATGATTGGTGATGGATATAGGATCATGAGGGGTGGGGTAAGAAATATATAATGATGTAAATATACATAAGGGTTTGGTGAAATAGAGTCGAATATAATCTCAAAATGGCGTTTAAATTCGCCTAAATTAAAAATAATCGTATATCTCTTAAAATTGCTTTTAGAATATTGATTAGTATATTTTTTGATTTCTAGGTAAATATGTAACCAAATTAAAACGTTCAAAACGTAAAAAAATGTGCATGGTTGAACATTGTCAGAAAGTAGATTCTTGAATAGGTTTTGCCAAAATGGGTTCAAAAATGTCAATAATTAATTAAAAAATACAGTAGCTTTATAATTACTTATAACTTACCGAATTTGATGAACGACATCTTTTATTGGAAAGATGAGCTTGATGAGCTTTCATCATCGCTACTGCCTGAAGCACCAACGTCAATAATGAATGGCTCGACTTGTTCCTCTAAAATATTGTCCAGTTCCCACATTCTCTTTTCAACTTTGTCTTTCACGTGCTTAATACAGTTTTCCCATTTTTGCGCTGTTATTAATTCTAGTGCTTCTTTGAAAAGTCCTTTGATTTCACAAAATTTAAAAGTTGTATTGTGCTTAGCTATATAATTTTTAACCTCTGCCCATATGAGCTCAATGGGATTGAGCTCGCAATGGTATGGAGGTAAACGGAGCACAGTTTTATTTTGACTTGCTGCCATTTCGTCAATGGCGTATTTTTGATATTCCGCCTTGTGATCCTTGACAATTCTTAATAATTGTACTTTCAGCATTGCTTCTTCAAAGTTGATATTTTTCGAGCGGAGCCAATTTTGAACATCAACTTTCCTTGAAGCCGTTGTTGGGACCTTCTCCATTCTTCGAGAATAATAAGGCGCATTATCCAACACAATTACTGCGTTTTCCTCTAAGTTCGGTAAAATTTTTTAAAACCACTGTTCAAACGATTCGCCATTCATTTCCTCGTGGTAATCTCCAGTTTTCTTAGACTCAAAGCACCACAGACCGTTAACAACAAATCCATCCTCACTGCCAATATGGCAGATAATGAGCCTTTTCCCTTTACCTGGAAATCGAAGTACTAACTGGTGTAGATTTATTTCAATAAGCGAACCTTTTTCAAATGTTTTCATCACATTCAGCGAAAAAACATTGAGACATGAGTATCAGATTGCTATAATTGGGATTATTTAGTCATATTGAAAGAAAGAATATTGAACGTCGCATGATTACTCAGCGCTTCACAATTTAATTTAAAGTTATAAACCTTTAAAAAATGAATGATCAGGAACCTGAAATACGCGCAAATATTAATATTAACAAATTATAACTTTATAAAGCTTAAAGTATGAATTAAAATGATTAGAAATATTAGGAACGGTACACAATATAAAACTTAGTAACTTTTTTTAAGTTTATAATATTCGACATATTTTAAGATTATATTAAAAAATTATTGAAATATCGAAAACATATAAAAATATGGCTTAAAAAAGTTGTAACAAATGAAAATGACAATAAAACATCCACGCATTTTATCGAAAGTTATAAAAGTTTTGTTACTTACGTAATATGTTTTATCTGCCCCCTGGAATTAATGTTTAGAACCTTGTTCCCAAGGTTTGAAAAACATCCGATTGTTGTCTATTACTCGTATTTACCTGCTGGATTTTTTAATCTGGTGGACAGTCCATCTAGAAAGGCCCTCCTGGATGAAGTTACAGAATCATCAACCCATACTTTACTTGTAGTGTGTCCTGCGTTTACCCACGTTTCATCAAGGTAATAAATCTTCCTGTTTTGATTTCTATATTTCCCAATTTTTGTTAAATAATCCCTCCTCCATAGCACAATTTCTTCTTTATCCAGTAGTAAACTATTACGACCCCGTTTTTTCCATTTGAAATTTAAATGCTTCAGTAACGCATGGAAAGTTGATCGTTTGAAATTTGGCAACGTTGTATCTCCATTTACCTCCTGCAGTACTTTATCTATAGTAGGTATTTCATTCCTAAAGAAGAATTCATGCACTTTCCTTCTAATCGCATGCTTATCAGCTTCGTCCAATGATTTAACAATACTTTTGCGATGTTTACTGGTCATTGGCTCAGAAAAGGTGTGATTTTTTTTGTATTGTCTTAACACATTAAACACTGATGCGCGACACACCCCAACTTTGTGAGAAACCTTCACAACAATTTCTTTGATGGTTGATGCCTCGTTCTCCTCGCGCTCGATCTTATATATATTCAAAATGACCTCTTTCATTTCTGCACTCAGGTGTCTTTTTTTAGAGCGTTTCCTAGGTGGACTACAGGAGTTTACAACTTCATCGGCAGTATCTGTACTACTGGGCATTTTGCGCAAGCAGTTGATAACAATAACAATCAATAACAAGGTATAACAATAACAACGACAAACTCAACAACTTAATAAGATAACAAACGAAAACGTCCAAAGAAATATCAAATTGCAATGATGCACACGACATACGTAACACGTCTGAACCTGAATGTGACTCTGCCTTGATACGACTGCTCTGCCGCTCGGCATAGGCATTTAATTGCGAATTGACCAATGAGGGCTCCTGTTTTACGTCGAGACGACGGCGTTAGCGTGAAAATCACCCGAACCTTTTGTTTACATCCGGTCTATCTCTTATCTGAATATACTGTAAGGTGCACCAGTTATGATGAAACTTGTGGTGGAATATACTTATTTATTCAAGAAATCCATTCTTTGGCTTCGATTTTACTTACGGAAATCCGTGTTTTTGCATAAAATTATTGAATCCTGGTGAGCCTAGTGGTGAATAAGCCACAACAACGATACCGTTGCTCTGGCAGAATTCTACCAATTCCTTTTGTTGCAAAAGTACATGCAGCTCAACCTGCAGACTTGCTGGTTTTATTCTAGCATTCTTCAAAACCTTTTCTACCTGTCGCTTGTTGAAGTTGGAAAGGCCGATTGCTTTGGTTCTGCCTGCATCCACCTGTTCCTCCATTTTCTACGAAAAAAAAAATGTTAGACTGAACTGCATGCGTTTTCTTTATTATTTGCTTAATTGCGATGAATTTTGATTTCACATAAATTTTTTAATGTAACTCCTGCAACTTATCCTGTGGTTTTCATGTTCACCGGACTCCATTATCTGGCCGAATAAAACCACATAATACAGTGCGTCCCTGATTCGCTTCTCTATGCACGGATCTCGGCTCCTGGAAAGTTTTAGAGGAAAACTTGGTGCTTTCGATGGCCAGCTTCAGATTTAAGATCGGTCAAATGGTTTTGAAAATATCAGTGAAAAACCGAAAATGGCGGTATTTGTTTTTTGCCGGTAAATCCAAAACGGTTAGTTTGACAAGCTGTCAAAATGTGACAGTTTTTAAGAAAAATAAGATGGCATGTACGGCATGTCTCAATCGTCTTTTGTTTTCCAGCAACCCGCCGCAACTTTCATTTTTCTTATGGCCGCCATATTGGATTTTTTGAAAACAGTGGAAAATTTCCAGTCTAGTAATGTCTCACAAGTGCATAAAAGATTGGGGTGTCACCGAAATATCTTCACACGTAATGTTAGGTAGGGGAAGGGGGGGCATAATGGTGCCGCGGGGCACGACGGGGCCATCAACATATCTATATCTAGATAACTACGCACACGTGTGTTGTCACCGCCGGCGACTAGGCTGCGCGCGCTTTTGTTTTATAACCTATAATTGTTTTCGGCGTCATTTCAACTAATTCTAAGTGGTTACAAGAACGCATATAAAAAGGTAAGTGTTCAAATTAATACCATCGATTTTGTGTTGTGTTTTTAAGTGATATCAATTATTGATATGTTTTGGAAAACATCTCTGTAACTACCAATTTTTTTTGTTTGTTCGAAATTAAAAAGAATGTTACACATGGGGGCATAACGGGGCCGTGGTGATAAGGTACAATGGGGTACCCTATTGTGCCTCGTCACTGTTGTCCCCATTATGCCCCTGTTATGTAAGCTGTTTGAATAATCTGTTTATTTGTGAATAGGATTCATTTTGTTGCAGATAAAAAATGGTACGTACGTACAAAAAGAAAAGTTCCAGAGGCAGTTGGTCTAAAGAAAGCATGAAACAAGCGCAGTTTTGAGCAAAACAATAGGCTACAGAAAAGCATCTCAACTCTACGGTGTTCCACAAACTACATTGGAGCGTTATCTCGTCAAAACACGAAAGGGCGAGGTGTCCCTCAACTCCACTCCAGGTAACTTTAAACCCGAATTTTCCAAAAAAGAAGATGAGCTCGTGAGGTATATTAAAGAAATGGAGAAACGTCTGTTCGGATTAACCACTGTCGTCCTACGAAAGCTGGCTTATCAGTTGGCGGAGAAAAATAATATTAACCATGATAAAATGATGGCTGGCGTAGATTGGTTGAAAGGATTCATGAAACGTCATCCAGATTTATCCATCCGCAAACCAGAAGCCACATCAGCAGCTCGGGCAATGGGGTTCAACAAAGTGGGAGTGGATACATTTTATTCCTTGCTCAGGGAAATATATGATAAATATAATCTAAGGCCAGATAGGATATATAATTGCGATGAGACTGGCATATCATGTGTCTCCAAAACAAAGAACAAAATAATTGCAGAAAAGGGAAGGAAACAGGTAGGCTCACTTTCTTCAGCAGAACGAGGGCAGACGGTCACGGTTGAAGTATGTTTTAATGCAGCTGGAACTTACATGCCTCCCATGCTGATATTTCCTCGACAGAGAATGAAGCAGGAGTTATTGGATCACGCTCCTCCAGGAACGACGGCAGAATGCAATGCTCGAGGCTGGATGACTACTGAGACATTTATGACGTAATAACTAACCCGGTCTTGTTGCTTCTAGATGGTCATGTAACGCACACACAAAACTTAGAGGTTATTGAAAGTGCGCGTAAGAATGGAGTTGTAATGCTTTGCTTTCCCCCTCACTGCACCCATAGGCTCCAACCTTTGGATGTTGGCTTTATGAAACCTCTGAGTACGTATTATGACCAATGTTCTAACTTTTTAAGGTCGCATCCGGGGCGAATAATAACAACTTTTCAAATAAGCGAAATCTTTGCACATGCATATATTCAAGCTGCAACAACGGCTACAGCGATCAATGCATTCAAAAAATGTGGCATATGGCCATTCAATCAAAGCAACTTCACAGATTCAGATTTTTTAGCTGCATCAACAACAGACGTACCGCTGAGAAATAGCGAGCCTGAGACAGGTGCTTCATCTGCTGAAATCCAGCAATATCCACCGCTTTCCCTTAAAGAGCACCCACTTGAACAAGTTTTGCCTCTAGCTACGCCACCATATCAGAAAACTCCTATGCCAAATCCCTATACAAAACGAAGACAGTGTGATCCGATCTCCAATTCGAAGAGTATGTCGTGACTTAACAACTTCCTTTGAAAATGCTTCTCCCAAGGACATTCTCGCGATCCCAACAGTCGAACAAAGAAATCAAACGAGAAAAAATTATCGCAGACGAAGAAGTGTTCAAATCCTAATGATCCCCGTTTAAAGAGAAATGCGAAGAAACAGAAGAAGAAGGACGTAGAAAAAGTGGACGAGGATATCTTATGCCTCTATTGCGTTGACGAGAACCATAGTTACTGGGTGGCCTGCCAGCTGTGTGAACGTTGGTCTCATACAGCCTGTGCTGGAATTGACGACAAAAATTCGAAAGAAATCCACATCTGCTTATACTGTGAAGCAATATAACTATGTACCCCGTGTTGCCACTACCGTGGGGCACAATGGGGATTTAATAAGGATTTCGTAGAATTAAATTTAAGGATATTATTTGATTAGTTACTTTACGAAAGTCTGTGCCAAATGAATCTGTAATATGCAACCAAAGTATCAAGATTAGTTTTGATTGAAAAATATATTTTGTTTATTCTTTTATTCTTTATTTTCCTTAACGTCCCCGTTATGCCCCCCTCTCCCCTACTAGGTTTTGCTAAGGAGGCCATGATGTCAGAAAATAACATGCGTAAGGCATAAAAAACACAAAAACGCCTTGAATTTTCAGTGGAATATTAACGTTAACAAGGACTTCTCAACCAGTCAAATGTTTTGTCAGAAAAATCGTCGTAAAATTTCACACTTGAACAAACACACATTTTATAAAATTGTAGTGTAATGTCAAATCTAATTATGTAAGTGGGTATTAATTTACAGATTTGCAAAATCCCGTTCATTTGTACCCAGAAATTTTTGACAATTGGTGACTGTTTTTCGTACAACCTTAGCCAGTTTAGTCAAAATTCTTTGTCTCAGAATTTCTGTGGCCGCGGGGGGATCAAATTCATAGACCTCATTCTCTGCATGACCCAGAGGCAGATATACAAGGGTGAAAGGTGAGGGAATCTAGGAGGCCAAGACATTGAACCATTTAATGAAATTTTTCTTTCATCAAAGTGTTCTCTTAAGAAATTCCTGACTTGAATGGTGTAGTGAGCCGGACATTCGTTCTGTTGAAACCAGGTTCTTCTAAACTCATCTTCGGTTAGACTAGCTCGTAAAGCCGGCACAACCTGGTTTCGCAAAAGCTCTAGGTACTTCTGTCCCTTTAGATTTTAGTCGAACAAAAATGGTCCCATAAGTCGATATCCTGAAATAATTAATACCTAATTTTAAATAAGTGCCCAACTAAAAAAGGTAAGTTAGATTAAATTACCCACATGACCCCACACCAAACGTTAGTTCCAAATCGGGTTTGTGGACGTCTCTCTGTCACATCGTGAGGCTTTTCCACAGCCCAATGATGAGTGTTGTGCTTATTAAAAACTCCACAATTCGTAAGCCTACTCTCATCGGAGCACAAGACATGACTTACAAAATCTGGATTTTCATTAGACTTCTTAGGCCCGTATCGTCAGTCGTCCCTACAATTGTAGGGTGCGTTTATGACCTCCTTGATTGTCATACTCCTTTCTCTCCTTCAAAAATTTCTAGATTACACTTGTCCTGTGTCAGCGTCAGCGCTCTCCTATTGTGGAGATATGTTTTCTTTTTAAATTGTAGGAAATTTCAGGCTGATAAAACATGATATAACTCAAAAGCAAGCACAATTTGATGCAAATAGATGTTTGTGACATAACCTCAAAATAGAGCGCTGACACGGAGAAGTAGAAAACTATGACAATCAAGGAGACCATAAAGGCGCCCTACAATTGTAGGGACGACTGACGATACGGGCCTTAGTATATCACCCACAAAAGCGCATTCGCCTTGAAAAATCAGTTTCCTTAAGTCCTTGAACGATTGCAGCTTTGTATGGTTGGTATTTATTCGTATTTAATAATCTCTGTACTGTTAATTTCGGCACACCAATTGCTCGTTCTATAGTTCCTACTGATGCACGAAGGATTTCGTTGACACTTGTAAAATGTTTCTGTCGGGATTTTCATTTTCAATATGGTATCCGCTTCTAGGTTGTTCGAAGGCCCCACGGTTTATTAAATTAACTACTATTTTTTGCAAGTACAGTGCTACCATGTCAATCTTTCCTTCATTTAAGTAGGGAATACCGGCCATTTTCAACAGGTTTTGAAAAAGAATTTGTCAGTTTTATGATTTTAATGACAGAACACGTACCTACTACTTATTAAAACACAATTTTAATACTGAATTATTTAACGTCAAAGTCAGAGCCTCCTTAGATGATAGACTTACTAATTTAACTTTCTGACAAATAAATGATAGCCTCATTAGAAAAACATTAAGACATAACATTACGTGTGATGATATTTCGATGATATTCCATTTTATGCACTTGTGAGACATCACTAGGCTGGAAATTTGATGGTCTTTTCAAAAATCGAAAAACCCAATATGGGGACTGTATGAAAAATGAAAGTTGCGGGAAACAAAAGACGATTGAGACATGTCATATACATTATCTTATGTGCCTTAAAAAATGTCCGTATAATGTCACATTATGACAGCTGTCAAATTAACCGTTTCGGATTTACTGGCAATAAACAAAATTCGACATTTTCGGTTTTTCGCCGATATTTCCAAAACCAATTGACCGAACGTATAAATCTAAAACCGGCTATCGAATGCACTAAGTTTCCTCTGAAACTTTCCCCATTTAACCTTAGCTGTAGGTATAACATGAGCAGAGATCTCTGAATGGAAAAGCGAACCTGGGACACACTGTATGTTTTAATTCCCATATACTGTAAGACGTTTCGTCCCCCACGGTGGCCTTTTTCAAGTACAATTACAATTATTGACAGTATATTATGTTTTTTGGAAACAGAAAGAATGCCGCGTGAATGGAGTGAGCCCAATGTTTAAAAAAGGGGATAAAAAAATCTGTGAAAACTATAGAGGGATAGCCCTATTGAATGTTGGATACAAAGTGCTAGCGACCTGTATTAATAGTAGACTTTCATCGAAAACCGGGCACAAGGGAAGAAATCAAAGTAAGACAGGGGAAGGGAAATAGATGTTTATATAGCCTGAACCATCACCTAAAAAGCAAGTTGATAAGTAATAAACTAAAAATTACATTATATCAAACAGTAATAAGACCATCATTTACATTTGCTTCTGAAACATGGATCTTGAGGAAGGCAGATATAAATACCCTAGAAGTGTGGGAAACAAAGGTATCAAGAAAAATTTTTGGAGGGAAACAGAACAATGGGGTATGGGAATGAAGAACAAACCAATACCTTGCAGATATGTATAAAGAATCAAGTATCACCGGATATATAAGATCAAAAGGTTGAAATGGTTAGGGCAAGGAAGGGCAAGCTTAGGTGTAATTGAAAATTCGTGTGTCAAAATAAGAAGAAATGGAAAAAAATTACAAATAAAGCCTTGGGCCTTTCAGGCCTGTAGAGCTATATATATAATGTTTTTTAATTCTACATTTAGCAGGTTTCGATGTTTCACCAATGTAGTATTTACTGCAGTCATAGCCTATTTTATTATATTGAGTTGTGCTCCCCTCCCCCCTGGGAATCAAGGTTGTTTCTTAGTTTTTTTCTCACAAGACAAGCAATATGGGTTCCTTTAGATGTCGAAGTACTATTTCTCGCATTTCAGATCCATGAGCGGTGCTCATGCACCGTCAGTAGTTGAAGCTCCGGAGTGGGTTTTTTGCATTCTCAGAGGGCGTCTCGCTTTTTCGGGGCGATGGGCGAATATGTCGTGTCTGGTACATTAAAAAGCGACAGATCAGCTCACTCCACCTTGCCGCTTTAGGGGCGTTGACATTATGCTTATTGACTGGTACCAGTTGGTCCATGCCAGTCGACAAGTACAATGTAAACACTGGCTAGCGCCAGTCTCATGCTTATTTTACTAGCGCTAGCAAAGTTAAAATCATTTGTACGTTTGTGTACCAGTTAAAGAAATAAAAATGGCGCCTATGCACAAATGGAGTGAAAATGAAACGTTAAAATTTGTGAGTTTATATAAAGAATGTGAAATACTATGGAATGTTCACGATGCAAATTATAAAATCAGAGAAAAGCGAAACAAAGCATTTGAATACATACAGCAGGAAATGAACATGAAAAACTTGACCCTGGATATAATAAAGAAGAAAATAAAAGCGATCAGAGATACCTATCACTTGGAGAAAAATAAAATAATAAAGTATAACAAATCTGGGGCATCACCAGATGACTTATACACGCCAAGACTTGTTTGGTTTAATGAAGCCGCTACATTCCTTGAGTACTGCGCTGGTATAGAACCTTCAAGTAGTCTGGTAAGGATTTCATCAAAATTATTTGGGTAATGACCAATTACATACTTTTCAAAACAAATACTCATTTGATTTTTTATTCTTTATAGTAAATTAATATACCTAATAATACTTTCTTACAGGATAAATCACAAATGACCTCAGTTGAGTCTTCCGAAGATATAGATGGTGGCGAACTTGAGGGAATTTCATCAAAAACATTCGTACCAGCAAAATCCTGTTGTGAGTGAAGAAGCATACCAAGTGTTAAAAGGAAGAAGCAAAAAGATGTTCCAGATCATATTTCAAGCGCAATGGAAAAAACTGGAGGATCTCGAACAGGGTGTACGGGAAAAAGATGAATTTGACTATTTTGGCATGAATATAGCACACCAATTAAGAAATTTGTCTATTCAACGAGCTCTAAAATGCCAGACAGAATTCCAGCAAATATTAATGAGAGAGCGACTCGAGTATGAAAGGGAAAAATCTTCGTCTTCGCGGTCTTCACATTCCACCTGTTTTAGTCCAGTTGAAAGGGCTTTACAATCGCCGATAAATACACAACAAATTCAACAAGATGGCTACAGCAACAGCTCACTAAGGTGTTACAATTCACCACAACAATCAGATTATAATGATTTGGAAGAAAATAGCGAAGTTTAAAATACAGATATTTTGTCTGCAGCGATTGGCGATTTGTTTGAAAAGGCAGAGTTCTAAATTGATATAACGAATCTTTGACTAACATTTTCCTCTGCATATTAGACAAACAAAGGAAAAGGGTTTTGTTCATTTTTATTTGTTGTTACTTATTGTAAGTACTTAGTAATACATAATTATGTTTTCAAAATATGTATGAACACTAATTCAATAAACTTTTGATTACCTCATTGAATAGCTTTATTATTTCAAGATTATTATTTTTATGTACAACTTTGTCCAGTCGGAAATTTTACATCACTAATCACAATAATTTTACACTGTTTCTTAAATCATATTCCATTGCCAGTCAACAGCCACATCATTCATAAAATATTTCGCATAGTTGTCTCGTCGGGTTGCTGCTCCTTTATAATAATTGTAGAAGCTCCAAGAATGACCTGGCTGAAGCACTTGATTATTTGCTACGTCTTTCCTCCATGATCCAGGTATTATATTACCAGTATCAATATCTTCGTAATCGGTTGTTTCTGGTGGTATGTAAGTATTTGCTGATGTTCTTCGTAACCAGTTATGTAAAGCGCATGTTGTTCTTACTATATAATCTACCTTATCCGGGGATACTTCTGCACCACGTAAAAATATTCTAAATCTAGATACAAGAATCCCAAAAGCATTTT